TAGCCTAACATCATCTTTATCGACTTACTCCGACGAGAGCAATGATTTCAAAGCGATGAAGTTGAACGCAATTATTAAAAGAGCCTATAAACGAGCTGAATTTACTGTTGATTCGGCTGAAGGGTGCCCTCTATTCCTTGGTAGAATGACAATTGCACACGAGATCACCGCCGTCGGCAGGCAGCTTGGAAGCAGCTTATTCACAATCAATCCCCCAAAAACTGGTCTGATTATAAATTTATAGCAGCTAATTTTAAATGCACAGTCGCTAAAGCAAAAGAGGAATATGATCGTAGACATTACGACTGCCTCTCAAAACCAAAAAATAAAAAAGCACTGTTTCGATACATGAGAAGGAAGATCCTGCCATCACCAGTAACTTCGGATTACGAACTTCTATCGTACGAGCAAATGACTAAAGCTCTAGATTCAATCGCCAAAGGCTTTGAGGGTAGATTTACATCAACTGTACCTACCAGGTGGCAGATTCGTACAAACCAGGCTGATTTTGAGGAAGTTAATTGATTCATATGTGGGGTTTAACATCCCAAAACCACCATATGATTATGAAAGACACCGTAGTGGAGGGCTCTGGAAATTTCGACCATTTGGTGTTCTTTAACGTGCGCCCAAATCTGAGTAGAGGGGCCTACAACATTTCCGCCTCCATCCAAAATGCAGCCGCCGCAGCCGGGTACCTTAGCCACTAGACCATTGCGGCCGGGCGATTTTGAAGAAGTTACAATGTCAGAAATGGTAGGTGTAACCTTAAGAGACAAGAAGAGAGCAGAGTGGATTAGAGAACAAAGGGGGTTAAGGATATCATAGTTGAAATCAAGAAGAGAAAATGGACATGGGCCGGGCATGTAGCGCGTAGACAGGATAACCGCTGGTCAATAAGGGTAACTGGATTCCCAGAGAAGGCAAGCGGATTAGGGGGAGACAGAACATTACGTGGGCAGATGAGATTCAGAAGTTTGCAGGAAGTGGCAGCAGAAAGCACAGGACCGAGTTAACTGGCAGAACATGGGAGAGGCCTTTGTCCTACAGTGGACGTAGTCAGGTTGATGATGATGATGACAATGTCAGAACTATCCTACGTGATAAGGTAGTTACCCCTTTCAGTTCCGGGCCTGGATGGAATTACAGTACCTATGATCCAAATGTTATTTTTATTATCTCTCTGTGAAATTCTTAATGTTATAAATTATTCTCTAAAGCATGCATGCACTCCTTATGATTGGAAAATAGCGAAGGTAATTCCAATACCTAAAAAACAGGGATCAGCATTCACCATAGAACATATAAGACCTATATCCTTAACTTCTAACATGGTCAAACTCATAGAGAGGGTTCTGCACGGCAGGATCACTAGTTGGATAGAAGGCAAGTCAATACTAAAACCTCAAAAATTGGCTTTAGATCCGATTGTTCAATCTGGCGTGCCCATGCAGACTTAGAGAGCCGAATACAGCTTGCTAAAAAAAGAAGACAATACATAGCAATAGTGACTCTTGATATTGCAAAAGCCTATGATAGCGATGAACATTCAATTTTGCTAAACACAGTGATGACTTTAATCTCCCCACAGTACATGATGGCACGGTTAGCAGAGTTTTTGACCTCACGGGAATTTCATTGTGTCAAGGATGGATGCTCGTCATCTAGATACGAACAAAATCGCAAAGTTCTCTAAGGAGCAGTTTCACCTCTTTTATTTATTATAATAATCAGTTCTATACCAAACTGCCAGGATATCTATGTCTATGTATATGCTGATGATATAGCCCTCTTTTCTGCTGACAATTATATTTATGCACTACAGCGAAAATTGCAAATATACTTGAACATACTAGAAAGATGGCTGCAGTCAATTTCAATGGCTTTAAATGTAAATAAGATTGCTCTCTTGGCGTTTCCCATAGCCGATTCCATTTCAATCGACATTGTATACAATTAGGAACCCATTCCACAAGTAGACTCCCTTAAATATTGGGGTGTGTTGTACAATGAAAAACTTGACTGGAGTCCACATATAGAGTACCACGGCCACTGAATGAAAGAGCGCACACTTTTTCATCCAGCGGCTGTGAGAGTACATTGCGGCTTAGGCTCAACAGGCTTTAGGCTTGCTGCGAAGCATGAGTAATCGCAAATTTGGCGTACGTAGAGACACCATGTTAATGGTATACAAAATGTATTTGCGCCCAATATTAGAATTGGGATGTGTCTTGTTTTTAGGAGGACCTGCGCACAAAACTAAGCCGTTGGTTCTCTTGGAGCAGGAAGCTTTGCGCTTGTGTCTGGGGCTCCCTAGGTTTACAGCAATTAATGTTATTTATCAGGAAGCGCATCTGCCTACATTGCTCTGTCGATTCCGCTTGTTAACAGTACAGACATTTCTAAAATTTTACAGCTTACCAGTGAGAAAAGCTGGAAACGCTTTCATCAGTGACCCGGATTCGTTCTTTCTTGCTCTCATTGGCCTTGTTTTCATACACCGCAGATAATCTATGTACAAAAGAAACTGACAAGTATAGATGTCAACATTAGTGAGGTGATTGCATCTGATACCTCAAAACATATTCTTAATATATAATATGATGAGATCTTTTCTCCACAATCTAAATTTCAAGGCCACAAATTCTTAGAGAACAGGCTAGCAGATTTCCTGTAGCATACACAGACACGTAACATTATAGCCACAGATGCTTCCGTCAATGAGGAAAGGGCAGGCATAGGAATAGTCTCCCAATCACTTGGCTGGTCATTTGCCATGAGGCTACCCGATTTCACTCATGTTTTTGAGGCGAAGCTCATGGCAGTCATCACGGCACTGCGAAAACTTCCGACAAATGAGAACAGAGCAATAATAGTTACCGATTCGCTCTCGGTATGCACAGCTCTTACAACTTCTCATACCTCTCGTGCCATCCCGACGTTACAATCTTTAGTTTAGTCTCAACTCAAGTACCTGAAATTAGTATGGGTACCAGGTCACTGTGGGTTAACATTAAATGAAATGGCCGACGTCTTAGCCCGCTCATCACTACATCTTCCAATAATTCAGGTTATACCGGTGGTAGAATACTTCACCGCAATCAGGTTTAGAAGATTAGCTATCCACACAGATATAATGAAAACAATAACCACGTGGATGGAATATAATCACCTAAAATACCCATGGAAATCGCAGTGGAGCAATTCTCGACAATCACAGGTGATGATCAGCAGATTTCGATGTGTCCCCCCATTAAACTTTTACTGGTACAGGGCTGGTCTGACAATATCACCCCTCTGCCAATTCTGCGAAGAACTGGAAAATGTCGCACATTACTTTTTGTCATGTGCAAGATATTCTCGTACCAGAACTCGACATCTAATTACTTCTTTTACAAAAATAGGCTTGACCTTATCGGGGGAAAATGTTTTAAGCTTCAGTGCCTCCGATTTGGAATAATGCCACAAGGATGCCTTTGATGCCATGTGTGATTTCATTATAACTACTCAACGAGTACCATTTTAATTAGATATTGAAAATTCTTTGTCATTTCGTTAAGTTAAAATTCAAGTTTTCAAAATTATTCCCATCAGGTTATTACGGCAGTCTGGAATACAGGCTCAAAAGCATATTACTTGTACTTAAATTAAATATTTTACGTATTATTGCCATTTTTTCTTTATTTTTGATTTTAAATTTCATAGCTTACCTAAAATAACACTTAACAGTCTTTACTTTGCATTTTTGGCCAATCCCCCAAAGTGGGTACGTGCCATGTATCTAGGAAAGCAAAGCAAGGCAAAATTGTGTGGCGCATTCGTCGAGCACGCGCTTTGGCCACGCAGCTCATTTGAAAACCCAGGCGCAAGTCCGCAGGCTGTTTCAACATAGGATGAGCAGTGCACATTATTAAGGCATCGTTGGGATTAGCTGCGCATTCACGCCGCATCAGCCACAGTCCCGTGACGTGGTCCAGACGCACCTTCGCATTTGCCTTTGCCCACAGACCACCTATATAGTGATGATCAGTGGTGCCCCTTCCACAGTGCCTCCTTACACCTCCGAGACCGCAAGCTGCAATGAGCTCAGGAGGCAAACGGCGGTCAGCATTGGCATCTGAAGGCTCGTGCCGGATCCAACGACACTGCACGATCATCCTGCGTGAGCTATCTCAATCCGGTCGCGCCTTCAATGCACTGGCTGTGGATAGACGAGGGGTGCCTCTGGGTCAATATTTCGCAACTGCCACTGTGCCAACTCCAGCAGGCTCAAGGGGCAACCGACGTTCAGGAAAGGTGACTGCAGTCCATGCCTCCATTGGTGGCAAACCGTCCCCCCCCGCAGATGAACTTTATCCAGGGGTGCCTTGCCTCATGCGTCTACCGATACACGACCTGCGTCATGACGACGAGTGGTGTCCCTTTCGCAACCTCTTCTTCTATCTCTGCGAAGTCATCTCCCAGTCTACGCACAGACCATCAAGTCCCTGATGGCCAGGGGAATCTTCACGGTTTCCTTCTGTACGGGCGTCGGCTTCACTTACCTGGCACCCCGCAAGTTCTGCAGCAGGACTTGACACAGGCATCTTTTCTCGAATCTGCATGTTGAATGGCATCCGGAACTGCAGATGACTCACTTCCACGAAAGTGACATCGTACTTGTCGAAGTTGATGCCGGTGGAGACGGTAGTGTGACCATCAGGGTGTCCTCAAGCTTTGTTAGTGCAGTCCTTGGCCATGGGGCCCTCCTGCTGTTACATGAAGCAAACGTGGGGCCGGTCACCCCTCGTCTCCGGAGAGGTCTCTTCCTCGTCCACCATGGGCGTCCGAGTCGGGACAGCAGCTGGGACATTGGCAACAATGCCAAACGAGTTTGGCGAGTAACGTGCCCGGTGCGACAATGTTCGCGATTTTTGTGATTTTTCTTTACAGCACAAATAAAATGACTATAAACATTTGTAGGGAATGTTCATTTTCTTATGCACAAAGGACACAATCACTGGTGAGTAAAAAGCTTTAATGTGCAAGCTTTATAAGGCTACCTTCCAAGCAATACCGTGCATGCTCCTCCTGAATCCTGAAACACAAGTGCGAAGCACTTGAATGTGAACCAAACGCAGATTTGCTGTGTCTAGAATTCGAAAAATGAGGACAGAAAAAGCTATTGTGGGCCTCAATTCAGCTCTATTCAAATCATGTGAGCACCATCTTCTTGGATTTAGTAATCACATTAACTGACTGGGAGACACTATTTTCTCCCTCCGTTATCAGGGGTGTGTGCAATAGCCTCTTGCAGAACTGGAAACGTGGTAACAAAGTGCACAAGACAAAAGAAAATCTGAGCCCACACGTGATAGCCTACGTTTACCGACTATCACACAACATGAAGAGGATCACAGCCAGATATAGTGTCCGCGTTCACTGTTTTTTCTGGCCCATGCAAGCCGGCCAGGATTTGTTCTTTGCTGGCGAAAAAACAGCTTAAGATGCACACCGCAAGTAATGCAGTATACGAAATTCCCCCAAGCTGTGGCAGGGCGTACAGTTGAGCGCATTTTCAACGTAATCGTGCGAGTCGGCCAAGAACCAGAACAGCGCCATGACCTAGAATTATTCTAGGAGCTTCCTCCTTTTGCTGGGAGGTTGTCTCTCGTCGTTGTCCCGGTGTGTACGGTAGTGCTTATAGCTAGAGGCGCAGCTGTGCCGAACTAGTGGCACAAGAGGCAGATACGAAGCTTGCGATTAAAGGGGGTTTAAAAAAAGCTAGCGCTCCTCGACGGCTGACTTGATTGGCGCAGAATGTGACCACGCCACAATGTCTTTCCTGGCAGTAGCAGTAGCATCAAACAAATGATACCACCACATTATTTTTTCAAAGCAAATCTAGTTCCTTGAGACTTTTTGTGCTTATGACGCTCAGTCAAACACCCTGTATCTTTCTTTGTTTTCTTTGAACTCAAACATGAAGTGCAAAAAAAGTAATCAGGAGTAATGCAGCGGGCCAGATATTCGCACATTTCCCAGTACAATGCTCAATTTTTACAATAACCAATAAGTAATTATTAAAAAAATTCGTTTTCATTATGTCACACACTAACTATCTACAACAAAGATTTACCAGCATGCGCGAGGCGACCACTAACAGAACACCATCGGTCGCATCTTCGTACCTCATAACGCTTCTCAAAATGGTCCTAGTTAGCTGCGACACCCTGTACAAAGATACTTGATATAAAGGGTGTCGGCTTGATTTTATAATATGTTACATACGTCGTTTTTTTTAGCCTTCTTCACCACCATATTACTACCGCCATGACTGACACAGCATGCTCAGACACAGCAGTGATGAAGTAAGCGAACAACCCAGTCACTACAAACACACACACACACACACACACCAAAAAAACAAACTACAGCTAACACAAATCACAATGACAGTGGTAACAGACAAGTCATAATTTTGCCAAAAAGGCAAAGCAATCTACACCAGAGCAACGAATTGAAATGTTATACGAAGTAAGGCTAGCAGCCAACTCATTTAGCATCCGACCTGTCGTATATAACTCAATAAAGGCCTGGTGAAAGAAAACGCAGCCATTGTATCGCGCAAAGTTACCTTCGTGCTGTCTGTGGTTTCAAAGAAAATTGAGTGCCGAGAACAAAACACTTGCAAAGGTGTGAGCCGTCTGCGAATTATTATCAAGATAGGACGCCCGCCTGTCACATATGTATTTCCTGCAAGCGTCATGCTGGCCGTCATACCCCGCCTCCCCTCTGGGACTTTCCACGGGCCTCTCGCGCAATGCGAAATGACCGGTGAGCTTCCTTTTCCCTTTGAGCCATAATCGTCCACGGCTCTTGCACGCTTTCACTCGCACATGAAGCATACAATTCTCCGGGCAATGTTAACATAGCAGTGAAGGTCCAGACAGCTTATGAATTGGAGCAATTTCTGGAGAAGAAAAAAGTCTTTTTCGGAGCAGATTTGGTTCAAAAGAAAATGTGTTTTGGAGTAGGTTTGGAGCAGCTCACCCTTTAGCTTTACACGAAACCTTATGGCGACGGCGAAAATGCGGCTGGATTCCACATAATTGTTATCACAAATTAATAGTGTTAAAGGTACTTTGCATATGTAATGTTTTTACAACTTATCAAACCTTGAAAGCACCTATTAACTGAAGTGCTGTTCACAACAGAGCTGTAAAAACATTCACAGAAAAAACGGTGCTCTTTCTGCTAGATGCAAACACAAGGGCGAATATACACTTCTCAAGATGTGCCCTACTGCCCAATTGAGAAACACTTTCTCTCTCTTGCAATAATTTATTGTTTCATGATAACTGATTGCATGTAATGAAGAGTAACATAACCACTTAGTTGCTGTACAATCAATCTTACAATGCAGATCACAGAAAAACCACAGAATCGCAATGGGTCACACTGAATTTGAAGCATACCTGTAAGGACCACACTGTTTAAAAGGACAAAGAGAGCACATAAAACAGGTAAAGATCTCATTAGGTGTGTTTAAAAAGTGCCTTATTATACCACGAAACAAATCAAATTTCATGATAAGGTGAGTTTCGGAGCTTGGCATTTTGTGCTAAACGAAAGATGGACATGGACCTAACTTCAGGATCACAGACACATTAACATATAGAAAAATTGCAAAAAACAAATATCTGATGGCTACAAGAGATCCTTCATGCGCACTGTCCTTCGGACGGCATTGCTGAAGCCCTCCTTGAACTGGTACCAGACCTGTGTTGATGAAATGGTGGTATTCCCAACAGCTGTAGGCTCTGAAAAAGACATATGAAAGCTATTATTAAGATATGGAACTTGCAAGGAATATATCTGCCAAAATTTTTCGTACAAGTCCACTGGGATAGCTTGTCAGGACAATGTCAGCCAAAAAGCTGTTCTGGGAATGTGTAAATGTCTAAATTGAGATTTATAGTCATTTTGGTTTAACAAAATCTCTATCCAGTTAAGTTTCAGGCTAGGCTGTTAGTGAAACATGGCTAGAACAAGGCTTGAGAGCAGCCTCTAAGTTATTCCTTAAAGGAGCACTGACATCAAATTTACTCATGCCAAGATTTTTGCTTCAGCGAGTAGCTATAGACCCTGTAGCAGCGATTTGCGACCTAAAACACAACTGAGGGATGAATAACTATCACTTTCATTGATTTATATAACTGGTATCTAGCACTATTCAATATGGCTGGCAATCCCGCCATTTTTAGCACTGGGAGCAACAGCTGTGGCGCTGCTACCTCGCGGTCACCTCCAGGTCATGCCACAGCTGACCACTTCTCCACAGAAAAGAGTGACGTCAGGCTCAACTGCTCCGCAATCTTTTCGGCTGCTAGGCGGACACATTCAGTGATACCTTGTCACCTACAAAGTGTCGACTCGGATTCAATACGATAGCCTGTAGTTGGAATCCTGGCGGTTCACATCGTCTCGAATTACTTTTGCTTCGATCGACCGTTTCCAGAACAGTGATTCCGAAAAGTTAAAGGACGCCATTGCAAGCAGCACTGCAGAGGTGCCCGAGGATGCACGCTTCAGCCATGTCCATTCGTGTGTCTCAGTTAGGTATATTGCTGTGTTTTGGCGTGCAAAGCATTCGGGTATACGCGGAGGGATCAATGCAATATATAGCTATCGCCAAGGAGCATCAGCGGAGAAATAGAATACGTTTCCTGCTTGCCAGGTTCTTTTTTGCGCCTCCAGATGGCCCCACCTATCGAGCCTCTTGCAGTTAACGGGGTATTATCACTTTTACGTGGACGCAAAGTCTACAGATGAACTAAAATTACACGATACCTTCATGCTACTTGTTAGCGATGATATCTGACTATATGCTGTTCCACTTTTGATAGCTTGTGGTCGTGTTGATGTGTAACACATACGTGATATGAAAGGACACTCTCATTGCGCTTTTATCAGGCTTCGAACTAAACGACAGCAACTCACCTTCAACTCACAACGATTACCCAACATGCTGACCGACGAGCACACGTTAAATCATGCTCTTTTCTTTCGCCGTTCTTTTAAAGGTGGTTTTTATCTTGATAATTTCCCGAAATCATTCAAACCAGTGTGACGAAGATCAGACGCGACGAGCGACTGCGTTTCTGCACTTTGGCACCACGATGAGAATGCTCAGATCGTACACGTGATCGCTACTAGGGCATCGTCACTCAGGATGGTGTTTGTGGAATGTATCACACCGAACACGTAGCACTAGTGTTGATGTTGCAGGGCAGTCTATTTTCCGTTTTTCTACGCTGTTCGACATCGAATTAGAATAACTTCCACGCGATGTATGCCGTTCAAATTTGGCCAAGAAGACCTATGCATACCAAGCGATCGAATGATGAGCACATCTTGATCTTGAAATTCGATGTCAGTGCTCCTTTAAGCTGTAGCAGCTGAAACTATGGAAAATGCAAAAAATGCTCCTGAACCTAAATTTAAAGGGCGAGTAAATGACTCCAATATCCAAAAATTGTAATGAAGACAAACATGCGCACTTTTAATGTGTGAACATGCTGCTACAAGAATTTTGGGAATACGTAGTTCAACAAGGAAGTTACAGGGTTTAGAACATACATTTCGTCTGGTTTCAAATATTTACGCGCCTTCCCCACCCTTTTTGGCCGATAGCCAATTGTCGTGACTCCGACTACTTTGGCAACGTGACAAGACATCAGCGATACGTCAGCGGCGCGCAGCCAACTGCCAAGCAGGGCTTCTCCCACATGAGCAAGTCTCGTAGCGGGGCAGGGAAGAGGCACGATGCGAGGAGTGCCCTTTCCCTAGCTGTAAAGTAGCGAGAAGCCTTTTTATCTCCGAGGCTTTTGTTCTGGCAATACCAATTCGCCCGGTAGTCTCGGGCTCAACAAAACAAATGAGGACAGCACAGGAAAATCAAAATATGGACTGCACGATTGAAAATGCATCACTTGCAGGGCCAAGGAGCCGCTTCGTAGGGCAAGAACCAATCAACAAGCTAAGTGGTACGTGAAGCAGTCCATGGACAAGCCCGCGTCAATAGGCGTACGAGGGGTATAGGTCAAAAGGAAAGAGGCGCGGGTATTATTCTTAGAAATGGAGAGTCTGCACGGCGCACCGAGATGTATTATTCAGAAAATGTGATCGTCGTGGTCTACTGTACGAATTTGAAAGCTTATTTAAAAGGGTGTAAAAAAAAAAATCAGAGCCTGTTTGGTGGCCCTTTAAGTACACATTAAAGATATAATAAAGGGGGGTATAGTAGTTTGTTATATCTTGGAAGATCCCATGGACTGAAGCGTGTCGTGTAATTTAAAGGAGCACTGACTGACATCAAATTTACTCATGTCAAGATTTTGCATCCCTAGTAGCGATTCGCAACCTATAACACATATGAGTGACGAATGAATATCTGTAATATTTTTTAATATATTCGCTATCAAACGCAGTTCAAAATGGGTGGAAAGCCTGCCAAATCGTAGTGCTGGCAGTGCTACCTCGCGGCCACGTCAAAGCCGCTTGCACAGCTGATGCTGCTTCCACAAAAAAATGGTGACGTCACACTAGCGTTTCGTCTGCTAGGAGCGTACGTACAGTCAGTCCAGCTGTATCTCTGAAAGCGTAGACATGTCTCTGTCGCCAACATCATCTTCCTCGCCGTCGTCGCGCTCAACATCGGCAAGTGATGATGACAGTGACCTGAAATTGGGTATCGCTGTGATTTGCGACGATCCTTGCTTGACAAGCTCCGCGTTAAATGCAATGTATTTATTAGTCCCGGCCGTGCTGTCGGAGCTCAGGAACACCAACTACGCACTGCACGTCGCGGTCAATTGGCCAGTGAATCGCTGCTTTCAGCTGCAGCAGGGCACAAATAGCCCCAGCCTTGAGAAGAGGCCCCGTACTTCCAGTGAAACCCAACTGGTTCGCCAACACACAATTTACCCTGTAGCAGCTCGCCGCACAGTCAAGGGAGAAAATGCGGCTGTTCTTCACAGGCGTCCAGTCCCTCTGTCCATCGGCCCGGCGAGTACGGAGTCAACCCACTGACTGCGTTGAGGTTCGTGGCTTGGAAAAGCATGAAACGCCACGCACTTTCCGCTTTTTCAGCGCCTCAACGTGCACATTCTCACTACGCAGCGGTTTCCTGACATTCTGGCACATATTGTCGCTCTGAATGATCGTACTTCCCGGCTAACCGCTCTGAATTCCCTCAAACGTCAGAATCGCCCTCAGTGGCTCAAACGAACACGTTCTGCCCAACCTGACTGAGTTAGCCGACAAGCTATTGAGGTAGCTCCCACATCTGTCGCGGGTGTCACGAGTGAACCGTCTCTACATGAGCAGCTTCACTAGATGAAGAGTGAAATTTGGCGTTTCGTGGACTTCGTGGCCGCTTTCCACACAGCGTCACGGTCGACCAGTCTAAGTTCTTTGTAGTTGGCCATGAAACGCCAAAAGCTACGTTGGTACCACTACATGTTCAGCAACGCTACGCGCAAATGCGTACCCCCCTGCAAGTTCTCGGGAACACCATGGGCAGGTGCTGAAGGTGACCAGCGTTGCTGCCATGGAAGAACGTCGCTCATCAGTCTTCTTCCTAAGTGACCTAAACAGCGGCTTCAGTTTCCTCGTTGACACAAGTGCCGATGTGAGTGTACTCCCAGCATCACCCGTGTGCCCCAAGTGCCCTAACACATCGCCTCTGCAAGCAATCAACCACACGACCATTGCCACGTATGGCAACCGCTGCCTAATCGTCAGTTTGAGCCTGCAGAGAATGCTTTGATAGATCTTCATAGTAGCCGATGTGAGGTTCCCCATTCTTGGAACGGATTTTTTGCGTCACTTGAGACTGTTAGCCAACATGCACAACCGCAGGCTTCAAGATCCAGTGTCACAAAATGATGTAGAAGGCCAGCCTTCAAGCCATACACCGCTCAGCCTTGCACTGTTCAAGCCAGTGGGCGCTGTTCGTTTCACCTCCATACTGAGTGAATTTTTGGAGCTGACACACCAGCAGCAAGTGAGATCCTCAGTAAAGCACGACGTATTCCACCACTACTGCGCCACCGGTTCACGCTCGACTACATCAACTGTCACCTAAAAAACTAGAAGTGGCACGACAAGAATTTGACCGCATGTTGGAGCTGGGGATTATTCAACCTTCTGCAAGTCCTTGGGCATCTCCCCTTTACTTGGTTTCAAAATGACCATTGGGTGACTGGTGCCCTTGCAGGAACTATTGAGCTCTTAACAGTGTCAAAACACCCGACAGGTACCCTGTGCCTCATATTCACAACATACTGGCAGGAATGCATAGGGCCACAATTTTTTTCAAAAATTGGTTTCGTGCGGGCATACCACCAGATGCCTGTGTCACCAGAAGACGTCCCCAAGACTGCTATCACAACACCTTTTGGCTTATTCGAATTCCTGCGCATGTCATTCGGCCTTTGCAACACAGGCCAAACATTCCAAATGTTTATCGACGGTGTTCTACGAGGCCTAAATTTTACCATGTCTACTTCGATGATTTGCTTATCACGAGCACCAGCCCAGAATAACATGAAGAGCACCTGCAGATAGTTTTTTTGGTGCCTATCTCAACACGCTGTTATCGTCAACATGGCCAAGTGTGAACTCAGTACGCCTGAGTTATCATTTCTAGGTCACATAATTTCGAACTCAGGAGTACGGCCACACCCATGTAAGGTGTCATACAAGACTTTCCACTACCAACCACGAAGAGTCAACAACATGAATTTCTCAAATAGCT